GCATTTCCGCTTAATTTCCGTCGCTTTGCTAGAAACTGCCGCCGATATTTATTTGTAGAAGTAGAGTAACCCGTAATCATTTTTCTGTTTCAGAACCATTGTGGACAATTTATTTATTGATTATTTATTGCTCTAATTTATTAACCTTATTTTTCCCTTTCTAGCACCGACCGAAATTTAAAACCAAATATTATTTTGGCGTACCGCTTCTTAAAGTCTTAGACCGTTTATTAAATAAACTAAACGCCAAATACTCCGCTTTTCTACCGTACCGATTTTGTGTCCTGATCTTTGACTAATTTGTATTTATTTACAGCTACGAAAAACCGTATCGGCATTTTAGATCCGCCGTGATAATAATTGCTCTAACCCATTTTGTTTTAANAGAGTTGGTAGTATTCCGGGGGCGGCCACAAGTAACGTCTGAACCGAACAGTCACCACCGCAAAATCAAAACCAAAATAAAGTAAAGTATATAAAAGGTGTTACAAAAATTTAGCGACCGAGTAAAGTACGTTACAACCTTCTTCCCAAGATCTGACCTTGCCTTCTTCCTGCCAATTCACAGCGCCTCTTTTGACGCGTACTATGATGGAATGAACTTCACCATTTGAAATCCATATTTAATTATATTTTGAAGATACTACCTACTTTTATTTCAGCTTAAATATTTAAGTATGGATTCCTTTTTTATATATTGCAGCACCGGTATTTTGCCAAGTTTGATCCAATGGCAAGTTCAATAGCAAAAAAATATGTCATGTGTATTTCAGATTTCTGTAGCCAAGCAAGCAGACGAGCTGTGCGGACGTACTTTGTGTAGTGAAGTGAAGCCACTTCTCTAATCTAGGAGTGAAGCTGTGAGTGGATAGACACCAACTTTTTGACCCTCGGTGACCACCTCAACGACATCCCCCCTGGCCGCAAACCTTTTCTGTTTCAGAGACCACCAGGATCAAGAAACGAAGAGAACGACACACACACATACACATACACACACCCCATACCCTCCTCCCCTCCCGCGCTAGTCTAAGGGCCACCTTAGCAAAGCGCATCCCAGAGGCTGCATAGCCGCACTATCCTACCCAACTATACCACACATAAACGTGACACCACTCCCGGGGTTTATAAGGACAAGCCGGCGAAGCAAGAAGAGCGCCAGAAGAAAGGACCCTAGCCGGCGGGGCCCAGCCAGGACAAAAGGAGGTCCCACAAAGCGCCTACACCGGCCGCATTTGCGATCGGGGTAGACGACGGATGGGACCCACCTACGAAGGCTGTCCAGGCCCAAGAATCGTAATTCTTGGTCCAGGCCTACACGAGATGAGGCAGGATAAAGAGGGATAATTCCCCTCGATCCCAAATCATTAAGGTCAATTTCTAGTCATGGAATAATGGCGCACGCGCGTGGCGCCCGACATAAACCGATCTAATGGGAAAGTCCCATTTTTATTCAATAGTTATTTTTATTTTCTACTGTTGTACATTTTTCATTTACAATTGTGACTCAGACAAATAACATAACAGTTGAAAAAATGGCCGGGAAACAATAACTCTATCCTTACGTATACCCTTCCCAGCACCGTCCACCTAGTTGGCTCGATAGCTGATGCGTGTATCCTTATAGCTACAACGATACTCCCAAAAACCCACCCCCAGTGTGCGACGATGACTACCCCCCGAGGGTTAAACACATGGGCGAAGAAAGAAATGAGAAGAAAAGAAGAGCACCAGAAGTGAAACCCTGCCGGCGGGGGTCAGCCAGGACAAGAAGCTCGAAGTCCCACAAAGCACCTACACCGGCCACGCTTCTGGTCGGAGTCGACGACGGATGGGGCCCACCTTCACGAGGCTGCCAGGCCTGCAGCAATGAGGCAGGCAATGAGGCATAGTCCTCCTATGTCCCAAATCATTTGGGCCACGAACATCGCCAAAAATAATGGCGTGCGCTGAAACATGAATATAAGGTGGTACCTAAAAAATCGTTAATTTACTAAAGATTCACAATCTTTAGCCAATGTGAAGTAAATGAAAAATCCATTTGTCGATCCTATGGACTATATAAACCGGTGGATTTTAAAGAATTATTTGAATTATGATGGTTCAAATTATGGCGATTTCCATTGACACACTGGGTGCGCACCGAGTATATTTCCATCTTTTATTATCACTGTAGATAATACAGGATGGAGATACACTGAATGCACACTCAGTGCATCAATAGCTTTGTTCCTAGTAGAATCCAAAACAGTTTTCAACAGTCAGACGTATGCGCATATTGATATAATCATCGATCTTCTAGTACTAGATACGGCATAGGCTATCTAACAGCATTGAGATTGTTTTGATACGCAAAGTCGTGGACTTGGAGCTCTGCGGGATGAGGCGGGGAGCNCGATAGCTGATGCGTGTATCCTTATAGCTACAACGATACTCCCAAAAACCCACCCCCAGGGTGCGACGATGACTACCCCCCGAGGGTTAAACAAATGGGCGAAGAAAGAAATGAGAAGAAAAGAAGAGCACCAGAAGTGAAACCCTGCCTGCGGAGGTCAGCCAGGACAAGAAGCTCGAAGTCCCACAAAGCACCTACACCGGCCACGCTTCTGATCGGAGTCGACGACGGATGGGGCCCACCTTCACAAGGCTGCCAGGCCTGCAGCAATGAGGCAGGCAATGAGGCATAGTCCTCCTATGTCCCAAATCATTTGGGCCACGAACATCGCCAAAAATAATGGCGTGCGCTGAAACATGAATATAAGGTGGTACCTAAAAAATCGTTAATTTACTAAAGATTCACAATATTTAGCCAATGTGAAGTAAATGAAAAATCCATTTGTCGATCCTATGGACTATATAAACCGGTGGATTTTAAAGAATTATTTGAATTATGATGGTTCAAATTATGGCGATTTCCATTGACACACTGGGTGCGCACCGAGTATATTTCCATCTTTTATTATCACTGTAGATAATACAGGATGGAGATACACTGAATGCACACTCAGTGCATCAATAGCTTTGTTCCTAGTAGAATCCAAAACAGTTTTCAACAGTCAGACGTATGCGCATATTGATATAATCATCGATCTTCTAGTACTAGATACGGCATAGGCTATCTAACAGCATTGAGATTGTTTTGATACGCAAAGTCGTGGACTTGGAGCTCTGCGGGATGAGGCGGGGAGCAAAAATTTGACGTTAGTCCTATACACCAGTGGCGTAGTACATTAGATTGGTTCATTAGGAATTTTAATTACAATTTAGTATTAAATGCAAGAAGTCTTATCTTCGGAAATAATTGAGTCAAACTTAATTTTAAAGCAGTACATCTTGACATAATAAAGGCTGTGGTTAGCAAAATATATATTTTTTTGCAAATGATATGGGGTTATAGAAACTGTAGCAAAATCAGTTTTTGTAAAAATTGTAATTTTTTCATTTGACTTATACAATAGTATAGTGTACAATTCTTGTTATGGGGGAAAATTACAGAATGACTAAATCTTCATTTGACTATTTTAGTATAATTATTTACTGATGACTAATTTATCAACATCTAAGTTTACATAGTATACTCGTATATTATGTTAAAATATGTACTGTATCTCACCCTATTTTTATTAATATGTTTTTCAAAAAGCATTTTTTGTAGCAGACGGTTTCTGAGACTGATGTGAGTAACTTATTAGTTTTGAAATTTGATGGTAATGTAAAGTTAAAGTTTACAGTGCTCTTCCAACATCTCGCTTTTAAGGAAATTAGTGTCAAATAAAATATACCTATTAAGATAAAACTTTTATTAATTGTTAAGAACTACTATTAAAAGAAAGTAATGAATAAATAACAAAATAAAGGATATAAACTACATATGTAAGTTATTGTATATTATAAAAGTATTAACAAAATAAAATAAGTAAATATATTAGTACCTACATTTAGTATTGAATAATTCTAATTGCAATTAATACTGTGACAATATCAATAAAAAAATTGTTTATTGATTTTTAAATAAAATTGTTTTAGTCCGTAAGCTTCTGAGTTCTGACTGTTTTGTACATTATCTTTTAACTTAAATGTCTCGTGATGCACTCTAAACCTTGAAATAATTTTTTAAAATTAGTTTTACTAATTGTAATGGGTGCTCATTAAACGGATCATTTAATATCGTAAATAAATTATATTAATGTTCAATAGTATTCCAAAGGTGTGTTACACCTAAAAGAATCTACGCCCATGTATGCTCACAAAGTTAACGTATGAAACGATATGGCCGATCCTCTTCTAAATTTGCTACAAATGAAGCAGGACTTTCCGGACGTATATAATAATATGGTATTAATAACTGTCACAAAATCACTTCACACACTCAAAACATTTATAATACACAACAAAATTTGTAAGTAAAACTCAAGACGAACAGATAAGTCATTAATTAGAATATATTTTGTATGATGTAAACAAATAATGTCGAGCATGCCCGAATAAGCAGCCAATCAAAAGTAAAGGACCTTAAGATACCCCCCTTGAACAAAACAAATTGGGCCTATGCAGTATCTAGTACTATAAGATCGATGGATATAATGCTTACATAAGGTTCAAAATTCACTATTTTGAATCAAATGCGATTGCGTCGGACTGTTGGAAACTAATTCTAATGCACTTGGAACAAAGCTAATGGAAATCCCTATTAGATTTCTGATGAGTATAAACGTCATATTATGTCAACACAAAAGTGAGTAATGATCGAAGTTGAAATCTTTCAACTTGGGCATGAATTTGGAATATAAAATAATTATTTTATTTTTAATTCTCTTTTTTGAGTTATTTTTTCTCTTCTCTCTTATCAGACAGCAGGAGAAACAACTTTCACTTCTTCAAATTTTATATACAGCTCTTTTATGTTAATTTTGGTGCATTAATTATCTTCATAAAGTATTAATATTTTTATGAAATGGCAAGGGGTTTCGAAATAAGTTTTAATAATATTATCAGTTATATATAATTTTTAATAATAACTTATTATTTAAGATTCAGTTGTGTACCGATGTCAATTTCTCCATTATATCCATTATGTGCAACTCTTCCAAGAAATTCTTGGTACTCTCCAGGTAATCCAGACTCCTTTGCTCCTTTCAACATAGTGTTTATATATACTGCAGATGGTTTTCGTTCAGGAGGTAAATCTTCTAATGGCACCACATCTGGTACTTTTGCAGTTTGAATATAAACTCTGCAATTTAATTTCTTTCCTATTGGAGTTTCAACTTCAACAGTCAGTGGGAAGTAAATTTTGTGGCTCACCCCTTCTTGACTAAAATAAAATCATGAAAATCTTGAGATAGGTATTACAATAATTTTTTTAAATCATTTTTTTTATTTGTGTTTCAGGGGAAAGGGGGGAAAATATAGCACAATATAGTTAGATCAGTAGGAGCAGGTCTACTTTTGCGTTAAGCCAGTTTCAGAATTCATTCCTACTGCATTTACATTTATTAGTATTTACCTCGTGTTGTTGCGTTTTGTGGATACATACTCATTGTTTTGTGCTCTTACTGTAACCTTTTAATATCATATATCGCAAATAGTAGGTACCCAATATGATAGTAACAATTTTTAAAAAAACTATACAATTCATTTTTTTGTTTGTATAAGGTCTGTTCCAACAAGAGTCAGGGATTGGTTCCAAACCGTCAGAAATGTGCATCCAACGAATTCTTGCGATATATTCACTGAAGACACTTTTAGAATTTAGCTGGCCAAACATTTCGAACGGTTGGGAACCAATCCCTGACTCTTGTTGGAACAGACCTATCTAATCAAATGACCAAATTGATTTTATATTTTGAGTACCCTATCTGCTACTACAACATTTTGATGATCACTGGTGTTTGTTATACAATGTCGTTGGGGTGGTCACCCAGGGTCAAAAAGTTGGTGTCTAGGTCTTTTGTGTTTGTCGGTCACGTCGGGTACATAGTCAACGGCTTGCCTGAGGAGGGGATTGTCATGTCTAGCGGCTACGTCAAACCGTTTCTCCGCGTTTTGTCTTATTGTCTGTGTAGCGTTTGTGTATTGTAAGTCTCGTAATATGTCAGTGTTTCTTACGTACCAGGGCGCGTCGGTGGCCGTGCGGAGGGCTATGTTTTCCACAGCCTGTAATGACTTTAAGTGGCTTTTTGCCGCGTGACCCCACGCCGTGGAGGCGTAGGTTAGCTGCGGTTGAAGTACCNCCGCGCTAGCCTAAGGGCCACCTTAGCAAAGCGCATCCCAGGCTGCATAGCCGCACTACCCTACCCAACCATACCACACATAAACATGACACTACCCCCGGGGTTTACACAGACGAGCCGGCGAAGCAAGAAGAGCGCCAGAAGAAAGGGCCCTAGCCGGCGGGGCCCAGCCAGGACAAAAGGAGGTCCCACAAAGCGCCTACACCGGCCGCATTTGCGGTCGGGGTAGACGACGGATGGGGCCCACCTACGAAGGCTGTCCAGGCCTACACGAGATGAGGCAGGATAAAGAGGGATAATCCCCCTCGATCCCAAATCATTGAGGCCAATTTCTAGCCATGGAATAATGGCGTGGCGTATCCCCTCTTTTACCGGTAACAATGCTGTTGTTGTTGTTACTTAAAAAGACAGCTATTATAGCAATTCGAGCAAAAAAAACTCCATTAAAAGATTTCTGGGTCTTAGGGGAGTAAGACCAATTCTAACGGCCCGGAGAAATAATGAATTTTATGAAAATTTTCTTGAAGCTCATTTCAGTGAGCCCAACATTTTTTTTCAATTATCATAGTGGTCAGTAATTGGAGATACACTGTAATAAAAATTCGTCGCTAAACTCGGGAGCAGCTTGGAAGTGGCTCATTTTAATTATTATTATGGATTACACAGCTCCACAAAAAAAAAATGAAATTATTTTCTCCGATATCTGAGGAGGTGCACTTTATGTTTTTGGGGTTGCTGAATCCGAATCCGGGGTCCGTTTTACCCCATCACGTCAGGGTCAAGGGCATCTGAAGGTCAAATTGCGGAATGACTATTAAAAAATCTGGAAAAATTTATATATATATGTTTTCGGGGTCGCTAAATCTGAATCTGGGGTTCTCTTGACCTTGAAGTGTCAGAATCAAGGTCAAATAAAGGTCAAAACCCTAAAATTTGATGATATGATCATTTTGACCCCGGATTCTTGAAGAGCAGAAAATTTTACGTCCGAATATGTATTGACTTTTTTTTTAGAACAGACCTTTGTAGGTCACGTGATGGTCATCCAAAATCAAATCCATTTTCCAGCTTTTGGCTGTAAATTGAGATCTTGGGTCTTTGATGAGTTGATATTTTTCGGGTCGTTGATCACGATTCTGGTATTCATTTNTTTTTTTTCAATTTTATAATCTGTTAGATTTATCATAGTGGTCTGTAATTGGAGATACACTGTAATAAAAATTCGTCGCTAAACTCGGGAGCAGCTTGGAATTGGCTCATTTTAATTATTATTATGGATTATTATTGTACATTTTAGTTTAAAATTTTGAAAACAAACAAAATATAAATATAACCTAAAATATACAGCTAAAACAGCTGATTTAAGTTGAAGCCAATGCGCATGCACCAAGAGTCGCCTGAATTTTATTATGAATGGTCAAATCCGTGCAGACTTGCGTGCCGAAATGTAAGTTGGCTAGTAAATTGATTCTGAATGCACCTTTAGATGTTACATAGAGAAAGCAGCACACAACAACAGTGCAGACTGCAGACGATTGACAGAGAGAGAACAAGATAGTTGGGTACTATCTTTATCTCTGACGTATGCACATGATCGGTTAAAGTATATCTCTGGTTAAAGTAACTCCTTCCTCAATAATTAGAGAGAGATAGAGAGAGTACCTAAACTAGCTCCCTCTCTGTTTCTCTCCACAGCGTCTATACTTTATAAGACGGCTTGCTTCCTCAATGTAGTATGTACAATGTACATATATCCTTTCGTTCTAATGTTAATTTTGGCACACTTTTGGCGGCTTAAACTTGAGCCTCAAAACAATTTTTGTTTTGCTACGACAGATTATTATGTTATTTTTATTCTTTATAAAGATCAGAATTAAATTTGCACTATGGAGATTGAAGATGAGATGTGTTGAAGATGATTTGAAAATCTTGAATATTATAGATTATGGTTTTCCACGTAGATTTTATAATCGACAAAATCATTTTGAAAATATGTACATGTGTTAGAACAAATTGAACATAATCTCAATGATGTATACCACTTTAATATTATAATTATACATTATTTATGTCGTCAGTTCACATAAGTAGATATATATAT